TTTGGTTGCTGATGACGCAGTTGTAGTCGGTGGTGGCGCAACCTTTGCTATTTGCGAACTCGCAGTTTCAATATGGTCGCAGTCCACCTAGCCCTTGCTGCTCATCGGGTCACAGCTACGATTCTGGACGTCCCAGCCCTTGTATCAGCAGTGTTCCCTCTCCTGGCCCGTTCAAATCAAGCACGACAGGTCCCCAAACTATCCCAAAACTTCATGGCTCGCGGGTTTCAAGCAAGCTCCATCCCATTACAACAAACCAGCCCGGAGAATGGTGTCGTTTAGAAGCCGCATCCTCGACCAGGATTGTCACAGCAGGTCGTTGTGAATATTTTTCCATTCCCACATAAGACTCACTCAGCTTTGACCATGCCCGGCGTGCCTGAAGCCACGAAGACGCAGACCTCACCCCACTCTCCGACCCGATATTCCCGAGGACGCGGTCTCCGCGGGCACCTCAGTAAAGGGTCTCGAGTTTAGCGCTTAGGGAGGGTTTTGGGCTTCGCATGGAAAGAGAGACACCCCACAAGTTCAAGAAAAAGATGCTCTACGGACCGATCTGCTCCATCCGTGGTGTCTAGACCGACCTCTCTAACGGAATGCGATCCACAACATAGGTGCCCGAATGACCGAAGCTTTGTGCACATGTGTGTCTGCTTCTTTGAGTGCGCATATACATAGGTATAAACGTCAGCAAAAGAACAGACAGTATATATGTAAAGATACACATGTGTATAGTATATACATATATATATATATACATGTATGTACCTCAACGAACACTTATACATATATATATACACACACGTATGCACAGCCTCTCGACGGATATACGCGCATGCAGGTATGCCATAGTGTTGAGTGGGCTTTGGCGGGCTGGTTCGAGACACTTGGTGGCTTTTGAAGCTTCTTTGATGGGTTTACTATAAAGCCTGAATAATTGCCAGTATCATTTCTAACGGTTCCTTGTTTTAGGGGTCTTGGAAGTGGACAAGGTCACCATGTTCTCTGGTACTCTATCCCTGATGAGCAAAGCACTTTCGGTTTGAGGCATCGGATACTGTAGCCCGAAACCCTAAACCCTGAAACCTAAGGTCAGGGATTCCCAATTCTGCAAAACCATCAAGAATTGAACTCGTCAACCCCTTCAGCGTCACACCCCAAAGCCTAAACCAGGGGGACTGCCATCGAGTACGAAGCAAAGTCGGTGGCCGCTGGAACCTCAGAAACCTAAACTGACCTAAACCCTAAACCCTAAGGCTAAGTGGGACTGAGGTAGAACCCGAAACCAAAAGCCTACAGGTGTCATCACCTCTGGGACTCACGTTTGCACCAGGTCTACTGCCCCAAACACCCAACCCCCTAACCCCTATACTTCCAGACATGAGTACCTACAGACACGTCAGCCCCGAATGTGCCAAGTTGCTGAGCACTGAGCCCGAAAACACACCTGCCACCCACCTGATGGGGTGAGAATCCGATGCCGACCTAGCTCCAGCCGAACTTGTTTAGTGCATCGGAGCCCCGTTCTGCAGCCTGGGGTGTGGAGCCTTTGTCCATTTATCATGCACAGCCAATCCTGTAACTTGCTAGAGAGGCCGCGCTTAGGCTTCCGTTGCTGCCATCTCACGGTTCTGTGGGTCTCCAGGCTTTTAGCGCTGGGTTAATATAGGGTGGGCTTTCGTCTTTAGCTGCCTCGGAAGTCACGGTTAGAAGCTCCAGGCTGCAGTCGCAAAGTCATGCAAGCATTCTGAAGAAGCATTAATCCAGAGTCTAGGGGTATGAAGTATTATGGCTATAGTGTTGCTTTAAACGCTATTCTGCTTTGTCAAGCCCCTGCAGTAGCTGTTGGGGCGCCTCAGGGCAAGAATCGCAATCCCCGACATCGCAGTGGCAGAAGTGGACTCCTCGGTTTCGAGGGTGAGTCAGGGTATTGGAGTTTAGGGTTTCGGGGTTGGGTCGCAAAGCTTTCGTGCTTCACGATGGGAAGTGCTGTACAAATTTGAGTTCTGAAATTTCCGGGGCAATGGACCTGTTCGAGTGCTCGTTCGTCAAGGCTGTACGATGCGCAGCGCAAGGTTCTACATCGCGGCGTCATGCCCTACAAGACATCAAGACTCTAAGACATGATGCTGCATTCTACTGTCATCATGCAGTGAGACGCCAGAGGCTTTTGCTTAACATCCGCTGCCGTTTGCACGTGCCCAGAATGATGAAGGGCTGCGTCTCTGTTGATGTAGCTTCCTCCGGCTGCTGTATGGAGAAGCTTCTTGCGGTTTACCTTGCAGCTGAAGCTTCGACACTGGGTTTAGGGTTTAGAGTTTAGGGTTCACATGCTCGCAGGGACATTGGTCGTAGGGCAATATTCCCATTCCAGCAGCGATAATTCCGATAATTCCACAACTCGCAGCAATCATCATCGTCATCGAAGTCGTAGCAGTTACGTAGCAACAATCGAATTGGCAGTAACAGCAAACCCCATAAGAGCTTGTAGCACTCATAAGGCCCTACAAACTCCGCAAAACAAAGCAGAGCTCCAAATTCCGGACTTAGGTCGCATTTGGAAGCGCTTTCTTCCTGCGCAACCCCCTGTGCAACGTCTGAAATGGGAGTGATTCGCCTTGCACGGAGCGACTCCATGAGAATCTCGCCTCAAACCCCTGATGTAATGCAACGTAGAAAAGAAGGACTTTAGGGGTTTAGGGTTTAGGGTGCAGGGAGCCTGAACTAGCATATACTCTCAAATAAATACTATTCTAGTTTTGAAAAAAGGACCCCTGAAGTAAACTCCCAGGATGCAAGATTTGAGTCCGTAAGTTAAAACCCGCCGCAGCATGAACTTCTTAGGGCTTTTGGGGTTTAGGGTTCAGGGTTTAGGGGTTTAGGATTTAGGGTTTAGGGTTTAGGGGTTTAGGATTTAGGGTTTAGGGTCCTATTCTGCACTTGGATTAGTCTACCGCAGTGAACTTCATGAACAGAGATCCCTAAGCCTACGAAATCCAAGGACACCCACGCAGCAATTTTAGGCGTTGACGGCTTCGATTCGTCTTTCAAGGCAGGACAGCAGGCTGAACCGTACCTTGGGCCTTCAACCCTAGCCCTAAACCCTCAACCCTCTAGCTGACATTTGGTGGTTCACCCCTTCAGCTTCGATCGAGGAGACTGGGTCTTCTTGTAATTCGAGCCGGGTTTAAGAGCGTTCCTGTTTGGTGTTCATAAGGTCTTATATGGTTCCTGCTGTGTCTCCGCAATAAGGTGTTGAAGGAATAGTACATGGCCGTCAGGATGCAGAGAACAGTTACACACCCACATGCAGATGGTTGGAGGTGTGAAGGCAGATCATGGGTAGTTCTCTAAATGGTGCCATGCTAGTTTTGGGACCTAAATGGGACCCTACTTTAGAGAAACACCCACGTGTAGAGTTCTTGACATGGCCCGTAGGTCGGTCGTGTGCCATATGCGAAAGCAGGTTGTAACCATATTGCGGGCCCGTCTTAGCCCTAAACCCCACACCCCAGCTGCTGCTGATTCGAATTGCCTCTGACCATAAAAGGCCTCCATCCATTAAAGCCCGAACTAATTCTCCTCACCCGATTTTTGTTCCCAAGTCGGTGATCTAGGAGGTTTTAAGAGATCAAAATCATGATATCAAACTCGGGCTAGGCTTTACAATGACTTTACAAGATATGGCTTGCCAACTTATCGAGAAGCTCCTTGCGGGCCTCTCTGTGCTTAGCCGAAAAGCCTACTGGAGCCTTGCACCACACAAGCCCATTATAGAAGCTTGAGGAGTTAGCAATACAATCCCTGAGGAATTATTGTAACGATACTCTAGTATACCGCCAAGAAATATTCTAATTAGCAAGGCTTTTCTATAACACCCTAAACCCTCAGCCCATCGTCTCCTGCGTACCGATGCCTCCGTCCTTGGAGGATACATCGCCAGGTGAAAAGAGAATCATCGGACTTCAAATCGCACGTAAGGCAAGCTAGTGTGTACATCTGGTACCTGCTAGAGCTTGCTGCGTTTAGGTTGAAGACAGGAATGACCGAAAGGCACATGGGTAGCTGGCTGCAGGGAGGCAGCGAAAGGGGCCCAAAGGGGCCTTAACAATTAGAATAGGGTGTGGGGGGGTATATTATACAACAAGTATGATAAGAAGCCGCAGACTAGTATTAGTAACTATGTAGGCCTTGCAGGCAGGTAGGCTAAGAGAATTCCAGCAGGGCCTCCTAGGCCCGAGTTCTTGAGGTGGCCGAGAGCCTGAAACGAAGACTACTATAAACCTAACGGAAGTCGAAGGTATAATGCACAGCCACTTGAACATTGAAAGGCTTCTTCTTGGGATTATGCTGCTTACAGGGAGAGTTCGTGCGGAGTGTGAGAAGTTCACAAGGACACATGGAGAACAGGGTGCTCGGAGTGAGGTACAAGTCTGTAGCAATGTAGCTTGCAGTTGCTGAGCGTTCAGATGGTGTCTCTTGAAGTGGAGCTGGACGTGTCTCCTAAGATGTGATTCAGGAACAGATGCCCCATCTTGCACGTGCATTTGAGAAACAAAGCGAAACAAACACAAGGCCAAAAAATATTGCCTCGAGATGTAGTGTTCATTCAACCGTCCTTCCATTGCTTTCGTCGCTTGGGCGTAGACATCTTAGTGTGGTTCATGCAATACTTCCGACCTTTTCAGCTTTGGGCTTATGGCTTTTGACCTAACATCGTCTCTTGGTGCATCCCGAGTCTAGTCTGAACACAGACTCATGCGCACAGTGACTCGCAGCATACAAACAACAAGCCAGCCAACCAACCAACCGGACAGACAGACACAAACAAACCTACAGTACTTACGTACATATGTACCTGAATGCATACGTGTACATGCCTGCACATGCGATGTTTCTCTGCCGTCATGTTGAAACCCAGCTTTGCAACCGTTCTTGAGAACTCAATCGAGCTGACTTGATGCAGCTCTTTTGAGCGTCTTGGAGTATTCAGAGGCAAGATGCCATACAACTCGCTGCTTCTTGTTCTTGACAAGAACATATCGGCGGTGGCCTTGGCAGCCTTTGGGGGCGCTCTGCCGACACCATGGACTGGCCAAGTAGCTGCAGAAGGACTTCTGGAGAAAATGCATTTCCTGTTCCCGATGGATGCAGGCGACCTCGACAAAGATCAGGCAAGGAAGTGGGCGAAGAACCCCCTTCACCAGCTTGCTAGTACTAGTTAGTAGTAGGTAGCTCCATAAAGCATTCTTCAGCGGCAAGGTTATTTTCTTCAGGTGGAATGTGGAGGAGGTGCTGGGGTTCTGGATTCAGTATGGAAGTGAATGGCTTGACAACTTGCCTTCGTTCTCCTCGCGTTTGCTTTGGCAGCGCCTTGGCTATTCTAAAAGCCTCAGAGAACCCCGCAGGACTAGGTTTGCAGATTGACTTGCTTAGGTTCTACACCTGTGCACTTCCCTTGCGTGTCTTCCTGACTCACAGCTACCGCGTCTTCTGGCCGTTGATCTACAGTGGCCTTGCAGCGAAATACCAAGTCGCGGAGCCATACCGGCAACTCTTGGTGCCAGACGCTGACCTTAGCCAGTTTAGCACCCATGCTTTGGTCAAGCGGGTTGCTTTGTTGCAGTCTTTGCCCGTCTGCGATAGGGAGTGCTTTCTTGACCAGTCTGCTGCCTTCGCAGCTCTGGCGCTCCAATCGGGCCAGAGGAATCAAGATGCAGATCTCTTGGCATATGTGGCAGAGGTCCAAGGACGGATCCAGTCTGCCTTCTGCGAAACCCTGGAGGACTGCACGCGCACCCGTGCCACGGCGGAGCTCTTGCGGACAACTGTGGGCTTCATGCACTTGATCGCGGAGCTGCCTTTCTTTAAGAGCAGACGGCTGCAAGCCTTAAAGAATTCTGCGGAGGTGAACCAAGGCACTGAGTTTGCAAGTCCATCGCTAGCCACCCTACAGACCGAATTCTGGGGGCTTCCATTCCATCCAAGTCCTGCCCATGAAACCGAATACCCATGTATAGATAAAATGGACACGGAGCCCATTAGTCCTGCGAGAGCCTTGCTGCTCTACAACACGCTCAACACTGTTGGCCAAGTCCTGGACCATTTTGGTGTCCAGTGGTTTGCATCGCATGGCACCCTCTTGGGTGCTATCCGGCATGGAGGTCAGATCCCTCATGACTGCGACTTAGACATCTCCATTTTCTCCTCGGATATTCACAAACTGCGATCTGCCGCCTTGATGCTGGCCTTGCAGAGGAACGGCTACGCCACCGACTTCTTGCCGGTGCAGAACTTGTTTACCGTTTGGCGCGTGGGCACTCACAGTCGGTATGAGGTCCGTGGCCCGCGCGCCGTCAACAACATGCCCAGGCATGGTGTTGCTTTGCACATCTTCGTCCTCTTCGATTTTCAGGAGACTAAGAGATGGACATACGACACTGACAGGCTCAAGCATGAGGGATGGAAACTGCGAGAAGCAGATCTGCTTCCTTTGAAGTTTCACTCCTTTGGGGAACTGACAGTTCCAATACCTGCAAACTCGGAGCTGTATTTGGACAACATGTATGGCTCTGACTGGCGGACGACCATTCGCTGCATGACGGCGCTGAAGGAGTTGGACTATTATCGGCCAACGGCCCTCCAGGAAAACGCGTCACCCGCAATGGCCCATCCAACAGGGCCCCTGCAGGAAGTTTTTTTCGACTGAGGAGCCCGAGATCGAGACAGCGTCGAGCAATGAACATATGTGGGATCTCCCTGCAAAGGGTTATCAACACCCATAGTACAAGCCTTCAGCCTAAAACCCCAAAATCCGAAACCAAACCTGAAAAGAAGGGTGCAAGGGGACTTTAGATGTGCGCGTTCCGTCAAGTTTGGGCTTCGGAGGTATCCTCTGGGGGGGGTTCGCTTAAGGGTTCCATTAAGGGGCCATGCGAGGATTTTGGGTGCCCGATGGCCTTTTTGTCTCTAGTTTGGAGAGTTTTCGGGTTCAAGCTTGTTGGTTTCTTTAAGCATGATTCTCTTCTTCTGTCACTCTGTGTTGTTATGGTTCTTCTATGTTATTCCTGATGCTACGTATGCTTATTGTCGTTATTATTCTTTCCCAGCCAGTCTCATTCGGATACTCATCTGCGTGGGACTCGTTACCTAAACCCTAAACCCTGCCCTGAACCCTAAAAACCCTAATCCCTAAACCCCTCAATCCTAAACCCCTGAACCCTAAAAGCCCTAAACCCGAAACCCCTAAAAGCCCTAAACCCGAAACCCTAAAAGCCCTAAACCCTAGACCAGTACTTGGTCCTTTGTCTAGGGATCAGGTTTCCTCTAAGACTCAGGAGAGCAGGGTGATCTCCGACCCACGTCTGAACGGGTTTAGGGTTTAGAGTTTAGGGTTTAGGGTTTAGGGAATCTCTCTTGAAGAAGGAGCCCTAATCGTAAGTACCTGAAACCCGACACTTGTCGCTCAAGCGGCTTTAGAAACTGACCTAGCTGAGTGCTCTTCGCTGCAAGATGGCTATGGTGGTTGCAAGAATTTTAGCAACATCTTTGCAGTGTAAGGTTCAGGGTTGAAGCTGTCAGAAAAGCCCGCTGTCAGCCATGAACCTACCAAAGACCTACCCCAAACCCGGAAAGCCACCTCGGAGAAGTTCTTGAAACCCGCAGGAAATCAAACTCGCAACAGACCGGTAGCCATATTAAAGCCTAAAAACCAGCTGGAACCGGGTATGGTTTAACGGCAGTGCAGGTGTGCCAGTGCAGGTTTCAGCTGGGCAGATTTTGTGCACAACCCTAAACCCTAACCCTAAACCCTTAACCCTAAACCCTTAAACCCTTAAACCCTAAACCCCTAAACCATTAAACCCTAAACCCCTAAACCCCTAAACCGTAAACCCTGAGCCGAAACCCATGAACCCTAAATAAGACGCACCCCATGTCGAATCCCATCCCTGCACGTCCGACCGCTTTGGCATCGGCAAAGAGCAGCCCGACCACAGGTGGTTGTCTGCTTCTTAGCAGTAGAGTAGGTAACCTTTAACCTAGTTGGAGTACTTTTATCTTTTTTCTACTCCCAAAGGTTTTCCTTTAGTTCCCTTAGGATACTGGACAGGTCAGACTGTTGGTGGGATGTTTGAAGTCGTACTCTCGTCACACCATGTTGCTAGTGCTATGCATAAGACAGGCAGTGTTCTAACTGCTAGTACCGCGAGTTTTTGTTCGTGCCGTTACGGCTTCCCTGCACAACACTACCATACTTGTGATCGTAATAATTATGCTAAAATTCGGACACAACTTTTCCGATTAGCCGCCTAGTGTTGGCCACGTTCATGGTCGCTGCTCCAATTTGATGAACATGTTTCCGCAGAAGGAGGCGCTGCTGTTTCTGATGCTTGGTCCTGTTGTTAACACATTAGTTTGACAGTTGTCATAAGTCTGAATGCTGTCCTGCTGCATTGAAGACCAACGTGCCGCTCCAGCCTGAGTGCGTTTGAAGAGAGACCCCCCACACACACACACACACACACACACACACCCACACCCAGTTCTGCTTCTGACACAGGGTTGTGTCGGTCGCATGTCCATCTGGCAGCTGCTATGCGGCTCTGAAATCGAGGCCTGCTGCAGCAATGATGAGAGCACTGTCCAGTCTGAGTGGTTCTGAGAAGAAACCACGCAAAACCAGCCAGTTCTGCTTCTGATGCAAAGTTATGCAGATGACATGTCGATTTAGGGGTGTTCTCGCGTGCTGCTTGAAGTGCTGCCTGCTGTAGTGATGAGCACTGTGCCGCTCCAGTCTGAGTGTTTCTGAAGAGAAACCACACATAACCAGCCAGTTCTGCTTCTGA